GGCTATCTGTGCTCTGCCCACCACGGGTATCGAAACCCGGTTTCAAGCGTTGCAAGTCCGAAGACGTAGTGCTGGGATATGGGAAGCATCACAAATGAAATAGGTTTTTTTTTTATTTTTACAAAACGTTAAACCTCATTCTCTGTTGCTTGACCAACTAAAGCGTATGTTGCCTGACCAACTAAAGCGTTAGTTTCATGCCTAGTAGTGATATTTGTTTCATAAATCGTTATAAAGGCTGAGGTAAACAAAATGAAGAATATAATAATTTTATTTCGTTCAAAAAATGAACTTCATACACATAGCATGGGCATGGATACAATTAAGAAATAAATCTAATTACAATATATATCAATGACAAACAAGTTTATATCCTACGTAAATAATCGAGAGTTTAGCCCTCAAAATGCAATCAATGCGTTTATATTATATTTTAATTGGTTCACCAATTCAAAAGTTAGTACAAGGGAATATGTTAAAATCAAAATAATTCTTCAAACATAATATAAAAAATACAACAATTACATTAATGTTTTTTAAGGAAGTATAAACTAATAATAAAATCGTTTTATCACTGGAAAAAAAAACAAACTGGAAATATCTTTGTTCGTCTATCCGTTTGTTATGAGGAAATTGGAAAAATTATATTAACAGATCTAACGTAATAGGTTCCATCATGTTATAAAAGTTAATTGATTCATTGCAATGATACATAAAATACAATGCCTTACGAAATATATGTATACTTAAACATGATTGTTGACACGTAACTGACATAAGCACCCAATCAACTCAATTAGTAATGCACAATCCAACTTTCCGTATCCCCCCCCCCCCATAAAATACAATAAGTAGAAATCAACGTTTTAATGAACAATAAAGGTAAAAATATTTTGTTTTGAAAGACGTTTATATACCGACTAATAATTAATTTCAACTTTGCTTGGGAAAGAATTAAGTATTTATATTCTTTAATAGCAAATGTTAATATCACAACGTTAGTTTCGAATCTTAAATGAGATTGGAAATGGTTTATATTGTAAAACTTAACTTACACTTTAGTAAAAAATACAAAGAACATAAAGATTTATATTAACTGCCCGTGAAGTAATAAAAAAAAAAAACTTAATTTTATGCAATGTGACAAACAATTTGATCTTAAACTGGATCATCCAAATAGAGGAAGTTGGCTAAATACTTACTATCCTCATTTTATTTTCTTAACTAAATGTAAATTTTATTAAAGATATACAATTAAATACAAACCGAACCAATATCATAGACATATAAAAGAATACGAATTAATGGGTTACGTTAAATGATATTCAAAGGAGAAACTACATGCTATTAATATCGTTGTGCTATCATCGGGTTTGATTATTAATACTTAAATTTCTAATCGTGAAAGTAGCTGGACATTAGATAATTAAAAAAGAAAATTTAATATATATAAAATGACCGTCTACACTAGTTGTTACTAAGTTCTACAAGAAACAATTGAACATAATATTTAACATGAAAGAAAGCGACTTTCGACTCGCAGATCAGTCCTAGCCTAGCACTTCGACTTGCTTAGATCCAACTATCTGTATCAGCTGCCGGCTACTGAAGGTAGCGACGATCTTTCTTGGGCCTGGTTTTTGAGGGATGAGCCGCACTGTGTGGACGGCAACTTCTCCAGGTTGAATATCCCTAAACAAATAACTAATGTTAATAATGAAAAAGTAACAGACGATGTAGAAACGTAAATATTATACGTTTATTATTTTTGTTCCCAAAATATTTGAAACGTTTTTTGAACAATAAGTTCAACTCCATCCGAGTGAGCCGATTTCTCGAAACTGACGATCAAAAACTTGAAACACCCGTTCAGCTAGTACTACACCACAACACATGCATCCCTTCATTACAAAACTAGTGTTTTTAATTGGAAAGATTTATGGTGTTACTTTGACCAAGTTCTTTATCATAGAATGTACAGAACCGCTGAAGATTAAGCAAGCATTTCATTCTTGAAATGAGCCTATGAGGAGTGGGGGCAAACTGGAGACAGATGAAACATATTTAAAAACAAAAAAAAACTTTATAACGAGATAAACAAGTTTCAAAATGTTAAATGTTTTGTGAAAAGCAAGTCTCCGGACTTACAAAGCTAAAAATATGGGGTTCGATTCTTTGCAGTTGACATTGCGCAGCTAGCACATTGTAGCTTTGCGCTAATAATGCAACAGCAACTCTTAAAAGCCTAAAAAAAAAAGAAAGAAAAAAGATATAATTAACAATGGTACTGAATTAAACAAAGGGGTGAAGTCATTTCAAGTTTTTTTTGGGGGGGGTATTGATTTTCCAAAAGTAGAAGTATTATCCCCTTCTCTGTCCTCTGCTCAACAAGTACGGTAGATATCTACGTATAAAAGATATTTTTGTATTAAGACTTCATTTCGATTATGGTGGGAAGTCTCATTGCTTTTGAAGCCTTTCAATTCACTTTCAGAGAAGACCGTTTTAATGACATCACTATTTTCAAAATGACCATTAAACAAACAGTGAAATAGAAAGTAGAAATTAGGAAGAAACTCAAGTTTTTCTGTTTGTGTAATGGCAATAAAATAATTTGAACCACTCTCACCTGTACTTAGCCCGGAACGGTCCAGTCACCCCTGGAGCTTCGATAGTGAAGAAACAGTTGTCCAGCACACGTTTCAGTGGGTTGGTCAAACTGATTGCAAGTACAAAATACGTACCCACCTGGAGATTTCCGCGAATCTGGAATATAGGCGTATAACAAGATGTTAATCCCAGAGATGCGCACACAAAATAGTTTGTGACCTGCATTAGCACGAAGTTGGACAACCCCCTCAAATGTGTAATAAGGCGAAGAAAATAAATCCATTAATAACGTATTCCTATACTTTGTTTTGCTACTACTCTCTTTATAATGGGGAAAAAACTTTATATCAAGCCCTGCAAACCCTTATATACATGGAAAGTATACGTTTGAACGTTAGTTAATTTATTTAACTTGTTTAAGACTTAAGAAAATTCTGATAAGAAATTATAAGTATTGTATATTTCGGTGTTACTTGAAAGAAAAAATAAAACTGTATAATTATTTATCGACTTTACCTCCAGTTCTAAATTCGGCTTCTCAACCATGAAATCGTCTTCTTCTGACCACGTCTGTTGGGTCTCCTTCACCGTGGCTATAGCGTAAAGCTTGACCATTGCGTAATCAACCAGTTTGTCCAGATATTCATCTGGAGACACCTTGATAGATAAAATTTCCTCTGTTCGTATCAAAAGAAATGGGTTAGTTTGAAATAAAATACAAACATTACAAAGTTTGTGTCATTCATATGTTAAGCTAACCATTAAAGTAAAAACTAAAAATACATAGATTTAATAAAGAACAATATAATGACTTAATATTACAATTTCTTAACTTATAAACAAGTCTCAACATGTAATATTTCCCTTTGTTTCATTGGCCAACGAATCACCAGAACAAATCTTCAGTAAGCAATTGAACAATGTGCCATTTGAATCATTAAATAAAAACAAAATCGGTCATAACAGCAAAGTTTTATTTAAAAATAAACAAGTTATTTTTTCTTTTATTAGATTTTTCCCATATTTGTAGTCTGACATTCCCATGAATCAGTCTTTGTGTCTGTCATATTGGGCGACCCACGATAATGGAATAGCCAAGTAATTGAAAGGTCCCCCCCCCCCGGTGGGTCAGTGGTAAGTCTACAGACTTAGAACGCCAAAATCCGGTGTTCAATTCCCTGCGGTGGACACAGCAAATAGCTTACAATGGGTTTGCTCTAAAACAAACAAAACCGTTAGAAAGAGACCCACAATAACTGAATAGCTAACGAACTGGAGGTAGTTTGATGGAGACCCACCATAATAGAATAACTATTTACATTGATGAATTTGTAGAGTGATCACCATAATAAAACAAAAACTACTTACTTTGATGAGGTTGGAGAGAGAAGTTTCCATTTTCCCGTTTAATTTTTCTCGCCGTTATTCCTGTGTAGTAAACACTGCTGGCTGAGAGGACAGCCGACACTGTTCTCGTCTCGCTGCTTTTGTTTTGGACGTTCACAGTCACGTGAAAAGGTTGACCAATCATCACCTTCTCGATGTCCAATAGGACAAAAGAAACATCTTCTTTCTCTGGAGATGGAAGATCGTACGCGTAATTGAAACCGGTGTTTCTGGCTGCGTTCAGCACAGCCATTCGTTCTTCGTAAGTTCCTGTAAGTCATAGAAACGGTTTCATTATATCATAAGTAACAGGAGTTGTACACAAGTGGTCAGAAAGGTTATACAATGTTAGGGTTCGCATGAAATATTTGTCAGGTAAACCGTCATTCACCGAATAAAGACTTGTTTCGGACTAGAAGAGGTTTCAGTAAGCATGTTGTACGTGGGTAAACTAAAACCAAATAAAGTTTGTTTTAGTGAAACGATATTGCTAACACGTTAAGAATATAAATTCAAATAATATTATATGACAGTAATGAAGTTATATTAAAAGAAAACAGATAAAAGAAGTGTAAACCTTTATGTTCATTGTACTTGAAGATTAAAATGTATGTATGTATGTATGTATGTATGTATGTATGTATGTATGAAATAAGGTTTAAAAAACATATGTGCACGAGTGTTTTTAACTTTTGTTAATTTGAAAAATAGTGCAATCAAAGAAACCTAACTAAACGGACAGGAAGACATCCCTTGATCTGTTCTCAAAATTATTTAATTTTTTAAACCGGTCTGCGTTAGTTGTTTTTTTTTTTTTTTTTTTTTTTCTTAAGTCCAAACTTTGAGCGTGGTGAAGCACATCAATCGAAAGGGTTTGGCCTCCGGAGTCCAAAACTGTAATTAGATCTGAAATTTGTCAATATATGACGGAGCTATAAGCTAAAAGTCTCAGATTAATTTACTCTAATTCTGCCTAAAAGAATTTCAATAATAGAGTAAGCTGGTAGAGATCCTGATGAGTAATAAAATTGAATCGGATATACGCGCGCCCCATGCTTGGCATTGCAAGCGCACAAAAAATATAGCTAAAAAAGAGGGAAAAGTCGCAGATTAATTTACTCTAATCCTGCTCAAAAGAATTAAGTGCCACGGCTATTGAGGATTCCCTCCTTGTTTTAAACAGTTTCTGTAAAGAGTTAAACTATTGCTGTAAAATTAGGTATTCATTTACAAGTTTAATATTATATCATTCAATTTGGGAAGGACTTACCCTCTTTGTTTTTATATTGGGCCGTGATATCTTCTGCATCAGTATCTCCAATGTCATCATCTACCCCAATTTTCTTGGTGAGAATAAGACGTCCCACTCTGTTCATAGGGAAATAAAAATTAGTTGTAGAAACGAAGAAAGACAAGTATTAGGAAGAAAGGGGGGAGTGGACATATCACTTAATCCAGCTAATGATCACATAGCAGACTAAGCCGTCTCGACTTAACATGGAGAATAATCAGTATTCAAGTATGAATCAAGTGATATATTCACTTCCCTCCCCATCTTGTTTGGTTCCTTTTTTTCAAGTTCAGTAACGGACCCTATAAACCTTTTTAATTCAATGATATTTTCTTCCTAATGTTTCTTTATGTTTACTTTATTTTTTAATAAGATGGGTTACTAGGTTACAGTATTTTCTAAGGCTTTATGAATTTTGCATATAATAATAAAATAGGTAGTCAAAGATAGTGAATACTGTTTTGTTCTATCAAATGATAAAATTGTAGTAACTGCTAGAACTCTGTAAGCGCTAAGCCTGTTGAAGAAAGATGATAAAAAAAATAATCTCGGTTTTCACCTTTCGGACGCTCTGGATAGCCGAAAAGCGGCATATACACCGGAGATAGAGCGACTATGCCAGGTAGCTCTTCATATCTAGCTTATTATCGCCCGTAGATAAGAAAATCCAGATTACTTTTGTATTGCTTTAATACGGACATTCGTGCCATCCCTACATAGTGTTAGCGCACTCCCCGATAGATGTATTCTATTGTAATCTGCGGTCACTTGCCCACAAAGAAACCCTTGAAAGGGGGCATTATAGAATCTTGAGTCTTTTATAAAGACTGGTTGGAATGCATCACAAAATGATAAAGTTTAAATAACTATTAAATTTCGACAACAATAGCATTTATAAGTTGTGTTTTTCAGAAACTTATCACTTTATTAATTTGTTTTTATTTACTTTTAAATCAGTTTCCCTCTTAATCTCTCTCACCTTATTTACACACTTCAGTTGACTTCAAAACAAGATGTAAATACACACGTATTAATCCGAACATGTATTATCATTTACAGAATTGTTTCATCACCTCATAATTGCCATTTTCAGTTATATTACAATTTTTTTTTCTCCACATACAAACCTTCGTGAAACTATAGCCGATACTACTTACTTCCAGAAAGATTTAGTATGAAATTTCTTTTTATCATTAAATGTAATGTAAACATTACCATGACTATATGCTAACTATGATTTCTCCTCTACTCAGCTATTTCTATGATGTCAGTAGAAGAAACCGTACATGTGAAACACTGGTCAAGTACTAAGTAGCCTCTTTGAGGAATGATAAACATAAATATGGCTGTACAGCCAAAACGGGCCTCAGAATGTGTGAAGTGGAATTTTAGTATCGACCTGATCCGAGTGATAAGAGTCGATATAGCTTGAAAGCAGTAGATCTGAGAGCTGGTTATTACAGATTTGTAACTCCCTTATACCAATCGTGACCCATCGTATACGTTCTTCAATACTAAATAATCCCGAGTGTCTTTAATGATCAACCATCTAGATTTTTTTATCATTACAAAACACACACACACACACACACACACACACACTTAAACTTTGCATAAACAGGAGTTAGGGTGAAGGATCTATGGTTTGCATCCCGTTATCGCAAAAATAATCGTGATCAATGGTGTGTGAGCCGCGTGTGCATTATAGTGATACTAGCTGGATTACCCGTCCGTTGGACGGATGAAATAAAAACTCGTTTGTAACAAAGGATATAAAATTGTGCTTCTATTTTTCTTTAACATAATAAATATTAAAAGTGCAATACAAATACATAAAGGTACCAATACTGAAAGGAAAGACGTACTGTTTTCAATAATTATAACAACAGTAGTTACATAGTTCATTGTATTGCTGATAGATATGACATTGGTAGTTTTTCCTAAATTAGAGGGGATCAACCCCCCCCCCCCCCCATGACTTTCCTGTATCAAGTTCCGTGCCGATTGATCAAGAAATGTGGAAACGTATAAGGAATAGATACACACATATATTGATGTTTATTTTTGTAGATTCAGTTCCCCCTATTCGGTTAAAATAGCCCAAGAGTTGGCAGTGGTACGACTAGCGAAGATAACCCCTTTTCTTGCTTTGTGCGAATATCCGAAAGAAACAATTAAAGCTTTCTAGGTAACCTAGAAAAGCAAACTTTTAAACCCTAGAACTCCAGTGTGGTTAGTTAAATATACACGTTTATCTTATATGGGGTCATAGTG